TGGTGAGCAGCCTTTGTGAAGGGAGAATATCGATGGCCTGATGGCAGCGGTCTGGGGCTGTGGGGAAAACGACTCATCAACCTGAATAAATTAATGATTTACTTCACCCGTGCCCTTAATTTCTGTCCATAGTTGTGTTTTTCTTCTATCCATCACTCTGACGCCCCTCACGTCTCCATCTCGGCAATGTGTGACTGGTCATTGAATGAAACATTACGTGCTGGGTGAATGCATGACCCCCTTCATCTACTCACTACTGTCCATCAATCTGAGGAATGACACAAGCACTTAAAAAATCAGCGCCAAAGAGTGGATTCGGTGGCGATGGCAGAAGCAAAAAACTTAATAAAATGCCAAATAGAAAGTAGTAATTAGTACTTTTACGGGTTGCAAAGCTTGACATACATGCTAGCATACACATTCCTACACATTGTTCCCCATCTCATTTCTGGATATTATTGGCCAATCTAGAACAAGATTGTGGTTTATTTAAGTTCTGTCTTATTTTTGCTTTTTGAAAGTAATGGCAGACAATCAATGTGGTGAGCAGCCTTTGTGAAGGGAGAATATCGATGGCCTGATGGCAGCCGTCTGGGGCTGTGGGGAAAACGACTCATCAACCTGAATAAATTAATGATTTACTTCACCCGTGCCCTTAATTTCTGTCCATAGTTGTGTTTTTCTTCTATCCATCACTCTGACGCCCCTCACGTCTCCATCTCGGCAATGTGTGACTGGTCATTGAATGAATGAAACATTACGTGCTGGGTGAATGCATGACCCCTTCATCTACTCACTACTGTCCATCAATCTGAGGAATGACACAAGCACTTAAAAAAATCAGCGCCAAAGAGTGGATTCAGTGGCGATGGCAGAAGCAAACATATGAGCGTGGATTCATTTTTGTGGTCCAAGTATGTGCTCTGGGGTAAAAAAAACATACTTTTACAATTTCTGTAAAATTGTATGTTGCGTCGTATAAACTTATTCACATCGACTGCAGCACGTGGGTTTTAATTAAAATCGCTTACTTGAACTTCATGAACAAAGGAAAAATCCAATTTGATGAAAAATGATAAATGGAGTGCACTTATGTAGCGCATTTGTCGACACCAGACTTTATCTGTGTATTGAACCAGAGTGGTCACTGGTACGGTGTACGGGCAGCGTTAACCTCCGGAAAGGTTTTTCCTTTTTGTTTAAAATCGCTTACTTGGACTTCCATAATGACTCACAAGTGTTGGCAGTCATCCGTGGCATATATCCAAGCTTTGCATTCTCTGTCATTAACGTGTATTCCACCTTCAGGGTGTTGTCCAGCATGATTGTAACAACATCCATATCACATCCCAGCCGAAATGTGGTCCAACACGCAAAAGGGAAAACAGCCGCTGGTACAATCACGTCAGGAACATAAAGATAACTATGGGCAATTTCTTTTCCTCAGACCTTGTTCACCTTGAGTGCGTATAAGTGATACATGCAAGCAGTATAAGTCTCTACTTTTGTTGTATAATGGCTTGACCAAGTGTACACCGTGTTGTTTGATACAAACATTCCAAAATAAGTCATGGTGGGGAGTGCAAGAAAAAAAACTTGATCGGTAAAGTGACAGGCGGTGACACATCATGCTTTAGTAATTCTCAGAAGCAAATGACATAAAAGTCAGGGGAAGATGGCAGGAGAGAACATTGGCAAACATCAAAGTCATATTGGTGTTGTGCTGCTGTGTTAATTTTACACACGTGGCCTTTGAACAGTAGGCGGGGTCCACCCTGAACACTTTGCCACCCAATCTTAAAGCACACATACTTTGTAGACCAACAACCATTCACAATCACAATCATACCCACAGACAATTTTAGAGCGATCAATTAACCTACCGTTCATGTTTTTGGAATGTGGGAGAAAACCGGAGTACCCGGAGAAAACCCACGCAAGCACAGGGAGAACCTGCGAACTCCACATCGGAAGGTCGGAGCCCAGATTCAAACTCTGGACCTCTGGAATGTGAGACGGACATGTTAACCCGTCGCCTACCGTGCCGCTCGCCATTAGTCAGAATACCCAAATAATTTCTACCTTCGAGCATGTCGTTACAAGTTCAGCAGCAAGAAAATCAGTATAATGGCCGCTCAACTGTCAAAATACAAAACAGCACGTCTTCTGTGTGCAAACACGGCCAGATAAGCAGCACTGGAATCCAAACACGGAGGAAAGTCCATTGCGAAGTTTGAACCCGCTTTGGAAATGATGACTAATATTTTATCCGTGGCTGTTGACACAATGGGGACACCAAATATCTGTCTCGTTCATTATTTCACGGACCAATGAGTTTGTGGACAGAATGGAGATGGGCATTATCGCAGACGCCTCGGGTTCCTCTCCGTCGTGAAAGATGGTGGTCATTTGGCTAGACGAGAGGTGGCGAAGACCCCCTCTTCGAACCGAGCAGACGGGTGCAGAGGAGCCCGGGGCCGGTTATATTAATGAACAGGCAGTGCTGAAAGGGACAGGTTCCTGTAACGCTGATGAATGGTCATTACAGCGAGAGCAGAGGAAGGGGAAAGACTTGAGAGCAGCAGGAGCTCGGAGGGAGTAGCACTTGGAGGGGGTGAAAAAAAAACTTAATTTGCACCTCGGATTTCTGTAAACTCGTTTATCACGCCAGCAGTGTCACGTGTTTTTTTTTTCTTTTTTTTCCTCCACCACTATCCGTTGGAACCTCTTGTTTTTCTTAAAACAAGCACGGAATAAAAAACATTCGAATATGAGCTGCCAGTGGCCACAACTCAAGAAGTTGTTGGTGAACAGTTGAAGGAGTTTAACAGCCAGCTAAACCAACACTGCAGCCAATTTCCCAAGCAGGCCAGGCCCTGCCTTGTAATGACATACAGTCCACACTCAAAGTCACAGATACTACAGTGGGCAAAAATACCTGCTCTTCACATGCATGTTAGTATGTTTAATCATGCAAAATGTTTTTTTTTTTAATCAGACTCCTAAATTGAGAATAATCCAGAGAATAATCAATTCTAAAAAATTTGGTAGCATTTTTTTTTTAAATCCACATTTGAAAAATAAGGCCTGATTCTAATCTCACGATGTTCTATTCCATGCGCTATTTTTTTTTTCCTTTTTACGCTGCCATATCTAAGTTGTGCCACATCGGAGCAAATGTTCCGCATGAAACGTAAGCATAAGTGCAGCCTTAGACACATTTTTGCATTGCATCTTTACAATGGGCACTGCATGTCCTTTCACAGCTTTGCCATTTACAGTTATATAAGTTATACAGTTAGGATTCTGGTCGCCTTGGTAACCTCGCACACTCCGAAATTTGTTTATCAAGGTTATTCTACGCATCCACACCCAGTTGCTTTCAAGTCCCTTTAATTTCCCTTCAGTCCTTTCCTTTGTTCTTATTTTGTCTGTTGATTGGAAAAATTCGATGGCCGCTCGTCTTGAGCAAGTCTCCGTGACTCAAAGTCTCCAGCAGCCCATTGGGGGCAAGTTTAACAGCTGCCGCTTCAAAGGTCAGAAGGATGAAGCACCCGGGAGATGATATACAGTACGCACGCGAAAAACTCATGAACTGACTCGAGGCCCACTCGCTTCACTGTAGACCTCATTAACTCCTCCTTGCCTATGGCCGTTTAGATTATTGCTACTGTGGTGGGCGAGATTAATCCTACCCCCCCCAAAAAAAATGTTACTTCGGTCAGGCGAAGCGTATTATTATTACGAATCTTCAGAAAATGCATTTTCAAACCATCTCCACTCACCTTTTCAGCACTCTGCCACCCTATATAAATAAATAGCATCAACAAATTTTAGATGGTTTCTGCGAGTTTGACCTTAACGCATTTTTCCACACGGCTGCACGTTTTTAAACCAGTTTTTTTTCTTTTTCGTTTTACGTTTTTTTTTAATTGTTGTGATTTGCTTTCGTGATTTGAAACAATTCCAAATGTTAATGGCACATTTTCATCATGATTTGGTGCACTCGGTAGATCGCCCCCCGAGGTGGCTGCTGTTGCTCGTCCAACATACTTTCTGGGTCACACCTGCAAGTGAAAGGCCTACATTAGGCTTTGATTGTGAATGCATGCAAATGTCTCACATGCTGCCATGTCGTCTGTCTAATTGTAATTCAGCCCAGCCTAATTTTGAATTTGTTATGCAGCACCTTGTACTTTGTAAAATGCACCACCTGCGAGGTCCCCCCCTTTAACCACCGCATCCAAAAGTTGCTCGGTTTGCTCTAATTTAAAGAACCAAAGAGCTCAAACATGTTTAAAAGAAAATAAAACGTGTTTTACACAATCCCGAAGCACGTCTGTATTTTCAAAAACAATTCTCATCCTACATTCTGGAGTGAAAATAACTGTTCGTCAGGGAGTCAATTTGTAAATTTTTGGGCGAAAGGAATAAAACTTGCTGTCAATAAAAAGGGAGCCTTTTGATATTTCAATCAGAACATATTTTATTTTCTTCGATATGATTGTATTTTTCTTGCATTCATTATTGTGTTATGTAACTGCTTGTTAAAATGCGTGTCCAAAATTTTAGATGACTTGAGTAGACCTTACTTCTGACTGATAGTGACAGCTAGCAAGCTAACCTTATCCTTTGGAATGTGGGAGGAAACCGGAGTACCCGGAGAAAACCCACCCAGGCACGGGGAGAACATGCAAACTCCACACAGGTGGAGTTCTCTGCACTGTGATGCAGACAGGCTAAACAACCGCCGGCAATAAAATATCGCAATAAAAATCAGTCCTGTGACCTCTTTTTTAATTCAGTAGTTTTGATCTGAACCTAAGATTGAATTATAACAGGTCTTTTCTTTTTTTGAACATGAAACGAAATCATCAGTGCCTTTTTGCTTATTTGATTTTCAATTGCCGTTCCCTGTTACATTGCTCAAAATTGACACACAATGCCTGACGACAGTAATCCGACATACTGTTTATTATTTTTTCCCTTTCTTTCCCTAGTGGGAAGAGGTGAGTGGCTACGACGAGAACCTGAACACCATCAGGACGTACCAGGTGTGTAATGTCTTCGAGCCCAGTCAGAACAACTGGCTCCTCACCACCTTCATCGATCGCAGAGGCGCACAGCGCATCTACGTGGAGATCCGCTTCACGGTGCGCGACTGCAGTTCCATCCCCAACGTTCCCGGCTCATGCAAGGAGACGTTCAACCTTTACTACTATGAATCCGACGCCGTCATTGCCACCAAAGGAACTGCTTTCTGGATGGAGGCTCCCTACCTCAAGGTCGACACCATAGCCGCTGATGAGAGCTTCTCACAGGTGGACTTCGGAGGACGCCTCATGAAAGTCAACACAGAAGTCCGCAGCTTCGGGCCCCTCTCGAAGAACGGCTTCTATTTGGCCTTCCAGGATTACGGTGCCTGCATGTCTTTGCTGTCCGTCAGGGTGTTTTATAAGAAGTGCCCGAGCGTGGTCCAGAACTTTGCAGTCTTTCCGGAGACGATGACAGGCGCTGAAAGCACCTCCCTGGTCATCGCCAGGGGGATTTGCATTTCAAACTCCGAGGAAGTGGACGTTCCGATAAAGCTGTACTGTAATGGAGATGGGGAGTGGATGGTTCCGATCGGCAGCTGCACTTGCAAGGCGGGATTTGAACCAGACAATGGCAACGTGTGTCGAGGTCAGTAATCTTTAAAGTTGCATCGACTTGTATGATAACCACCATTTGATTTGTTGTTTTGCAATGTAATAATGAAAAACACTACAGGATCAAAGCTTGAGGTCTCCCCAAGTTGCAGTTCAAATTTGACAATTGTAAAATGTTGGGCACCATTCAAATCTCCAGAAAGTCAGCTTTTAAAAGATGTATAACATGTTCACACATGTACTCAGCTGACGATGTGCATCAGCGATTTGATGTTTTGACAGATGACGGAGGGCCCCTCGGTGGGCCGTCCTAACTTCAAAACATATATTGTTGCATGGGTTCTTGGACAAGTGGTCCAATACGTTTGCTAAGCACTTTAATTTGCCATGTTTTGCAACTTCGGACAAGTATTTTTATTTTTTTTAATGAAAATGGTGTTCATAATCCACAGTGGGTGCCGCCAAGACTCATTTTAGACTTTCCTCGGTACATAATCACTCTTCAGTGTTTTTAATTTACTACAACCACTAATTTATTGAATTTACTACATTTGGATTTCACTTGAGCACTACATCAAGTTCGTTCTAAATGGCACTGAACACCTATTAATTTCACTGCTACAATTCGTATTAGTCATTAAAAACAAGACATTTATGTAAATTCTGTACTGAGAGCTCCGTGTGGCTTCTTTGCTTTCATCACCCACGTATGCTGTAGCTATCCTCCTACACTGACATACTTACGTACATGTAAAGAAAGAAAACATTTGGCAAAGACTGCTGTGAGGATACCAGTAGCTCAAGGCGCGTCATAGAATGCTGGATTATGGATTGGCCTGCCTCTGGCACTCCGCTGGAGCGTGCGCTGCTCAGATAACATTGATTGATGCGCAGCTGCTATGATCGATAGACAGATACGAAAAGGCCACAAATCCACAAAGCACAGTTTGTATGGCCGTGCCGGAAGTCAACATACACACGGGAAAAGTTTGCGGTCCTTATGCCAATGCATGTTAATTCATTAATTTTTGTTTGACTTAATTTCAGGGAGGATATTTTTGTCAAGAGGAGGGAATTTGCCGATTGACACTGATTAACCATTTGAAAGATTTTATTTTTTATTTTTTGGTGAAGTAATGATTTTTTTGCAAGATTTCCCTGCAGAGCGACCGAGTCAACAATCTCGGTATAATCAGATCTCATCGAAAGGCCTTCCAATATTGGGACGGAGACTGAGGATGAGGAGGCTGCGGCTGTTTCAGACTGCCAAAGTCCAAGCTGAGAGATTTGGGAAAGGCCCTGAAGGGCCCCGTGGCGCCTGACGATGATGAGGCGCGACCTGGGACCACACGCACACACGCACACACACACAAAAAGAAACCCCAGACGAACAACATCAAAAACTCACATGCCCAAATGAACGGCAACAAAACCACAAGTTGCTTCTTAGTAATCTCACGCTTTCATGCTGTAAGAGATATTGAGGGCTAGCTCCAATGACTAAAAAGAAAAAAGAAAGCGCAGACTTGCTACTGGGTCATATCGACACAAAAAAAAAAAGAAAGATCGGAAAGGTTAGCATTTTGGTGAGCGGCAGCCGTTAGCCACAGAGAATGCTAGCAACCGAGAAAGCCGGTCTTTTTTTTTTTCCCCTTCAAAATTGTGACAGTATTTCACACAATGAGCAAAACTCTCTTGCCTATAAAGCAACTTGACATAAAAGACTGTCTCGCTTGGATAAAGTGCGCAAGCGCCTGGCTGCTGATGTGTTGAATGCGTACGGTGCGACGAGGCGTCATTGTCATGATCATTATTTTACTTTCTGTTTGTGTTTTATGTTATGTGTTGTGTTTATTATTTTACTTTATGTTCACTGTTTTGTTAAGCGCTTTGTTACAGCTGCAGCTGTTGTGAAAGCGCTATATAAATCAGCATGTATTGTATTGTATAAGGTGCACCTTCAATGAATGGCCTATTTTAAAATTGTTTTCATATGTAGGGTGCACCGCATTATAACGTGCATAGAATAGAAGCTACAAGAGTGGCTGCGGTTCCATTATGCATCCATTAGATGGAGCGACGCTAAAGGGAATATAATACAATACAGCTTTATTTATATAGGCCTTTCACAACCGCTGCGGATGTAACAAAGCGCTTTACAAAACATTTAAAATACTACGTAAGACGCACTGTCTGCGTTTGAGAAAATTGAATGCCGAGTAGGAAGAAGTATACAACTTATCTAGTCCTACAAAGCTCTTTACAAAACATTTAAAATACTACGTAAGGCGCACTGTCTGCGTTTGAGAAAATTGAATGCTTTTAGCTGTGCCTTATAATGTGGAAAATACGGTACTCGTCGTTTCTCACAATTCAAATAAGAGGCTCAAGATGACATCAGACACAGCAATTTTTTTTTTTTCCCCTCTCAGTCGCCTTCTTAATTCTCAATTGGGGTTGTTGATGGTCTTAGGTAAATGAGTGTCAACATGTATTCTCTGTGCTGAATTCCCTTTTCTACCAACTCTGTACAACTCACCTTTATGCAGCGCAGTAATTGGCAAGTAAGAAGTTTGGGTGGAGGGCTTGTTGTGTCCTGTGTCAGCAGGGGGGGGCGACGGCAGCACTGTAAACACCACAAGCACAAACAAGCGCTGTGTGCAGTGTACTGTATACAACGTATACCGCCCCCCCGAAGGCCCTGAAATGAAAACATTCATCCGACAAAAAAATGGACGAACTGTATATTTTTCCACTAATACCCACAATCCCCTTGCCGCCCTTCGTTAAGCACCTTCAGCAAGTAGACACCCTGCTGTGTTAAGTTTCACTCTGTCCTCTTTCTGATTCTCTTCCCAAGGAAATGAGGCATTCTGGTGAATATGTGGGAGGGAGAAACCACTTGCTCTGAGCTCTATTTTTTCTTCTCCTCTGCTCGGGGGCGTGCAAAGGGCCCCCCCTCTTCCCACTCAGCAATCCTTGATAAAGGCACTTAAAAATGAAAGAACATCCGTCTGTGATCGATGGACAAACAGGCAATTAGACGTCAGTTGAAGTTTAAAAAATGTCCGTTCAATACATTATAACTATTCTGTTATTGCTCATTTAGATTTTTCATTAATTAAATAGTTCTGTTGGACACACTAGGGCTGATTTCATTCTCGAGTTGCGAGCAAAAATTTGAGTTCTAAATAAAAAATGGCGTCACAGCTTAAAAGTCCACTCTAAAGGGAATAGTGTGCACATTCGGACACAGCCGTAGTTCTTCTTTCTTCTTTTTGTTGTTCTTCTTCGTTTTATTATGAACATTTGTATTATACTGCCCCCGGTGGTGAAGGCCAGCACACCAGTAGGTGCACAATGCCAATGGGCAAATATGAAATAAAGAGGCACCAACTGTCCTATTTAACGTTGTGTTTTTATCAGGTATAATTCAAAAAAAGCATGTTACAAATATGCTTGTTGTTGGTTTTTTTTTTTTTTTTTTTTTTTTTTTTTGTGAAGGTGAAAGCGACTGTCATTTGTGTTACAACATTGGTCACGGAATGAATTAAACTCGTACGTCGAGTAGGCATTACTGTACTTTGCGTGTGTGTGTAGGGCCCCTGTTGCTAAGTGCAGTTTTGCTAATCTATATGTTTTAATTAGTGGCAGGTACCCTGGTGTCTGCATGATAGGTGTGTGTGTGTCCTGCTGCGAGTCAGGCAGAGAGACCATGTCGTGTTGTTGCTCAGTAACGATGATGCCAGCGTGCCATCCTCATTACCAGCTCCCGCTGCTCTCACACAAACCAATTTGGGCAGCCCACCCACTCCTTTTCTTTCCCTCATTGTCCCTTTGGGCGATGTAAGCAATCTGCTAAATATTTGATCACTTCGCTGGTAAATCGAACGGGGCCACATCCAAAAAGTCATTGTGTGTTTGTGTGTCAAATGCTGAAGGTTCAGGTGGATGCGTCTTCTATGTTGTTCTGGTTGTGGTGCTCAAACTCGGGTCCGTGGATCATTTGGAGTACAAGAATTGTTTTGCTGTAAGGGGTCCCTGGACCCAAAAAGCTTGAGAACTGCAAGTTCTTTTTTTTCCCATCATTTGAATGCATGCATCCGTGCATAAAAAGCAAAAACGCACAAAATTAATTGCATCTTATAAAATGAATTTATTTCAGGCTTTACGTTTCAGATACGCGTCGGAATTCTCCATTTTAAAGTGTTTCATAACAGATTTTCCTGCAGCTTATCAATTGCTCCTTTTTTTTTTTTTAACTGTTGATTGGTGTTCCTAGTCCACAATTATCATGAGTGACTCTGATTTCTACATTTGATTTATGACTTTTACATCCACTGTGAGTCATCAGAAAAGTCTCCAGAGTATCACGACAGGATATTTTCGTGCTTGCATAACTGTTTTGAATTAATATGCAGAACCGTAACCTTTGAGAAGTGCACTCCATTTTGCCATTTTGAATCTCATACTTATGCAAAGCACAAGGGCAAAATATGTATGTACATTTTACGACCCCTCCCCACCCCCTCTTTATTTTTTATTTATTTATGTATTTTGTGAGATCACATTCCATAGACTCGATACATTTTTCCTAATATTACTTTCTTCATAACGGAGTCTTATGCAGACAGCAAGCCATCGACCGGCCAATATTCTATCCCTGGTTTATATTTATTGACTTTATCAATTCTTTATCAGAGCACTGTGACAAGTCGATAGAGCAATGGGAATACACTCTTATATCCTCTTCCGCTGTTAGGCTTCAGTGGGCTTTTGGCATGCTGGCACATTCATTTTACAAATATTCAAATAACTTTATTTAACATTCTGCGGGCTGAAAGTGGCAGCAGGAGATTCACAGCTCATTGAGCAAGCGCGTTTCTCTGGGCTAAGTGCCGATTCATCATGGCCGCCTTACTCCAGTCTAATGGCTGCCATCACGGGGCAAGAGCACACCTGCACACTCACACGCGCAGAAACACATCATGGGTATACTTCAAAAAAAAAAAGAAGAAAAGATTCGCAATTGCC